ATCTGCTCCCCTGCTTGCCTGCCTGATTGCCCCTAACTGCTCCCCTGCCAGCCTGATTGCCCCCAACCGCCCTCCCCTGCTAGCCCAGTAACCCCCAATTGCCCTCCCTGCTGGCCTGTTCACTCCCAACTGCCCTCCCCTGCTGGCCTGGTCACCAACAACTACCCTCCCCTGCCAGCCAAGTTGTAATGGCCATCTTTGACTACATGGGGGAAGCCATCTTTGACCACATGGGGGGCAGTCATCTTGTGTGAGGGTCAATTTGCATATTACTCTTTATTATATAGGATAATTGATTTCAGAGAGGAAGGGAGAGGAGAGAGAGAATCACTGATGGCTGCCTCCTGCACACTCCCTTCTGGGGGTTGAGTCTGCAACCTGGGTATGTGCCTTGATCAGAATCAAACTGCAACCTTCTGGTGCACAGATGACACCCAACCAACTGTACCACACTGGCCAGGGCTTGATAGAGTTTTTTAATATGAAGGCAAATGTTCATATTTTAGTTTTAAAAGGTAAATTAGAATTATTATTGTATATAACATATAATCTAAAATATTTTTAATCTAATTTATTAAAAATTACATAATCCTGTCTGGTTTGGCTCATCACCAACCAACTGAAAGGTGGCAGATTCAATTCCTGGTCAGGGAACATATCTGGGTTTTGGAGTTGATCCCCAGTCAGGGTGCATATGTGAGGTAACTGATCAATATTTTTCTCTCTCTCTAAAATCAATTTAAAAATTGTATAGACAAAGGAAAAAAGGAAATATATCAAATACTAACAGTAGCCATCTTCAGATATGAGATTATCAGTACTAAAATTTTTTTCTTTATACTCTGCTATTCCAAAAATTCCTACAATTTGCATGTACTACTTATGTAATTAGAAACTTAAAAAAAATAATGCAATATATTTAAGGTATTGGAAAATAATAATGACTCTTAACCATTTTGTTTGATATATTCAACTGAGTAAATACTTGCTGACTTGATTAAAACTTTTATTTATATCACCAAACCCTCTGGACTCCAAAAGGAGGATAGACTAACTGAGCAGTAGCATATTTGACTGCATCTTTCTAAATCCAGTTTAGCCTTGTTCATGCCACTTTCCTCAGCCTGTCCCTCTATTTTTAGGATTGGGAGATCTCCTCTCCCCTCAGAGTAGTTGAGGTCTGTGCTTGACACAGGACATTTCCACCTTTCCTATCTGGTCAGTGAATAGAAGACAGGACCAAGAAGTTAAACCCCAGCCTCTTACCCCTCCACCTCTGCAATGAACTTTCATCTTCAGTATACATCCTTCTCTGCTACCCCATGCACACAAGTCCTTCCCTGCCCAGATCCCAAGATGCCTTTCTCAGGGCCTCAGGACGTCCTCTACTGCACCCTCCACTGGCACAGCTCCTCCTTCCAAGAGCTGCAAACTGTTATTTCTGGAGTCCCATCATTTGTCCCTCTTTTCTAGTCCCATGCCATATGCACATTTAACAGTGAGTTGATGAGGTTGGAAATAAATAAGCATAGGTATCTAGGCCCATCAGAGATCATCTCTGGAGACTGTCTGCCTGAAATCTGTAGCTTCCAATAGGACTTAGTTGGCTCTCTTTGCTTCTCTCTCAGTTTCCACCTAAGTCAAGTGTATTTTACAATTGGGTTCCAGTGGTACCCAACTTGTTCTTGACTCAGGTGCCCTTTGATGATGACTTATTCCATCTTTCTCTTCCTTAAGGTCTCTCAGGACCTGTCAATAAATTAACAGATTGATGTACCTTAAACATACCATATAGGAGCTACAGATGTAGCTTCCTTATATATACTAATAAAAGAGTAAGATGCAAATTATTGACCATACATTTGTGATGCCCACCAGCCAATCAGGAGTGAGCATGCAAATTAACCCAACAAGATGGCTGGACACTTGCGTTGCCACAAGCATTCTGCCCAACCCCTGCCACTCCGGGCCTCTGGTCATCATGGGAAGGCAGAAAGGTGGCTCTAGACCTGAGCAAAAAGGTGGCTCTGGCCAGAGCGAAGGTGGTGCTGCCAGCCAGGGGAAGAAAGGCCCAATCTTGCATGAATCTTTGTGCATCGGGCCTCTAGTATTCTATATAATATATTACTTTTTTAAAAAGACCTCTAACATTTAATCAGTTAATATATTCAGTAGGCAACACTTGAAATAAACTGGTTCCAATGCTACATGCTATTATTGGTATTATTTTCATAACAGTTTCCTGGTCAGACTCACTGATGATCATGCTCTAATATTAACATTCAGTTCCTTGGGGTAATTTTTAAAACAGTTTAAATAATCAAAACTATTCATATTTGGTTTTAGATCATGTAGAATGAATAATACTGGCTTTTTAGGTTAGCACAAAATGGTCTTCTGTGTGAGTTGCCAGGATCAGTTTACTTCCTGGTTTGTGTGATGTTATATGAACAGAGGATTAGGGAGAGGGACAAAATCTAGTTTAAAATAGAAATGGCAATGATTTATAATGCAAACTCTGACTAATATGGTTAAATCATTTGATCCTCTTAAAGGATTTGCAAATTGAGATTTTATTCTCAACCCAAATTCTACTACTAAATTGTTTGTAGATTCAAACAGAAAATGTCTCACCTTTACCACAATTTAGATTGGATTTATTTTGTGCTCTTGCCTATGAAGAGTTAAGTGGATATTTTTCAGTATTTTGACTTTTGCTTTTTTCAAGGTGGTGGTGATGATTAACAAGCTTCTTTAGAGAATGCAAGAGACATTGGTAACCAGCCTGAGCTGAGTGAACGTCTGTGAATGTTTATGAGTACACACACATAGTGTTAAGTGATCATTGGAACTTAAGCTGGTACACATGTGAACTCAGACACATTGGGATGTATGTGAGTCTTCTAGAGTTGAGCCTATGATAATGAGAATAGTGGCGCAATATCCTTTCTAGCCTTCCACCCACCATTTCACTCACTCCTAGTTATAGTACATGGTCTAATTATTTCTGGCTTCTTTCATGTGGTGACTTGGAGACCCCCAAGAAGGTAGGCACCCTTCTTAGCATTTTGGTCCTATGTTCTTCAGTCTGTGGTACTTTTTATATAATAGCCAGTCTAGGGATAGTATTCCCTGTTTCATTCCCCATTTAATAAATATTTGCTGAGCAATTGCCATGTGCCAAGAGATATGCCAGGTGCTAGGGATCCAATGTAAGACAGAATTTTGTCTTTAAAGAGTCTGTAGGCTCTTAAGGACCATGGAAAACATGCATAGCCCCTTTAGGAAACTAACCAAGATGACTCTGAAGACTGTTGAAATCTGAAGTCCACTTCCCACCTTCCACTTTCATAGTAATCATTAGTGCTATTCTCCAATATTTCTGGTTCTCTTCCTTCAGGACACTTGGTGGAGTTGCACTTTCCTCCTCTTTGAAGTTAAGTGGAGCCATAGGACTTGTTTTAGCCAATGGAATGTGAGTGGAGAGCCAACTAAGTATGCCACTTCTGAGTGAAAGTCTTTATGAGTGAGTGCATGATTTGTCATGGTAGTGACTGGCCATGTTTTGGAGAGTGAGATTCTATTAGCCTGGGCCCCCTGATAAGGGTCAGTTTAAGAAGAGCCACCTATTCTGAGCCTAGATAGACAATGATGTAAACATGAAAATAATTGTTGTTTTAAGTCACTGAAATTTGGGAGTGTTTGTTACCTCAGCATAACTTAGCCTTTCCTGAGAGATACAATATACATCTCCCAGATTTGGCAAGAGGTTTTGTGGCCCTGGTTCAGGCTATGTAGTCTGATTTAGAACTGTTGGTCCTGGATGACATATAACACTAAATTAATAAAGATAACATTAAGAAAAGTCACAGAGCTCACATATCCACACTTCACATCACATTCACTCTCAGCCTCCAACCATGCACCTCACCTCCCTAACCACAGATACACATCCAATTAAATTAAACACCCACACCATCCAGACATATTCTGCATAGATAACATGTTCCCCACCCCCCCAAAAAAACAACCCCATAAAGATAACATTGAACTTGGTCTAGCTGGAATTCCCAGAAGAAACAGTCTTTCACATCTGAGCAATTTCCTCTTAGCCTCAAAGTGGCTGCTTACCATGCCATAGAAGTCTTTGAAATAGTAAAACCCAAGGGAAGACCTACTTTGACAATAATATGTTCATATTTGGTGAAAGAAAAAGGATCACCCCTGAGAACCAGGATTAGAATTGTCTTTAAAAATGTTTATAAGAATTTATTTGAGCCAAACTGATGACATATGCCAAGGAGCAAGATCTCGTCTAGAATGGTCTTTAACAAAACAGCATGGAAAGATGGTGAACAAGCCGGCATGCCTACAGAGAGGCTATAAACTTGAAATCTCGGCTTCCCACTTAACTCTGCACTTAGAATCAATTGCTGAAGCCACTTGTGAGATTTATTTCAATAGGAAAAATTAAACAGAGCAAGCATTACCAGAGATTAAGACAACACAAAATAAAATAGCATGACTATCTTTTTCTTCAGTTATTAATTTGGCAAGATATTTTAAATGGAAATATAAATTACTACAACCTTTCTGCAGACCAATACGAGGGTATATATTATATATATATTAATAACCTTAAAATATGTATGCATGTTAAACTCTTCAATGATATTAGAATTTTTAGCATAGCTGCTTGGAATAAAGATTATATTCCCAACTTTCCCTGTAACTAGGAATGGGCACATGAAGAAGTGCTGGCCAATAGAATGAGAACAGAAGTAATGTTTAGCCCTGAAGGGGCAGAGGTGGTCTCTTGTTTCCCCCTTTCCTTATCCTGCTGCCTGGAATAGAGATGTACCTTTTTTTTTTTTTTTTTTTTTTTTTTTTTTTTTTTTAATCTTTATTGTTGTGATTATTACATATGTCCCCTTTTCATCTCCTCCATTGCCTGCCTCCACCCAGTTCCCACCTGCCCTAGACCTTTGCTACTTTATTGTCTGTGTTCATAAGTAATGCATATGCATATAAAATCTTTTTTTTTTTTTGGATGGAGCATGCTCCTATTCCATCTCCCTGCTCCAAAAATCCATTAATATATTGTCCTCAGATAGAGGATGTATCAGATTTTAAACAGAAAGAACAGATGATTACACTTAATCTTAGCCAAAAGGTGAAAAGCTATTTTTGTTTAATCTCTTCCCGTCCCCCTGTTTCCCTCTGAGAATTATCAGTGTGTTCCAATTCCATGCCTTTGATTATATTTTATTCACCAGTTTATTCTGTTCATTAGATTTCTTATTCATTTATTTTGATTTTTAGATTCAGTCCTTGATAGGTATGTATAATATTTGTTTCCATTTTTGTTGTTCATATTTTTTATCTTTTTTTCTTCTTAAAGAATACCCTTCAGCATTTCATATAATACTGGTTGGATGGTGTTGAACTCCTTTAGCTTTTTCTTGTCTGTGAAGCTCTTCATCTGACCTTCAATTCTACAGTAAATGATAGCTTTGCTGGGTAGAGTAATCTTGGTATTAAGTCCTTGCTATTCATCACTTTGACTACTTCTTGCCACTCCTTACCTGCATAGTTTCTGTTGAGAAATCAGCTGATAGTCGTATGGGCATTCCCTTGTGGGTAACTAATTTCTTTTCTCTTGCTGCTTTTATGATTCTCTCTTTGTTTTTAGCCTTTGGCATTTTAATTATGATGTGTCTTGGTGTAGTTTTCTTTAAGTTCCTCTTATTTGGGACTTTCTGTGCTTCTTGCACTCATAAGTCTATTTCTTTTACCTGGTAGGGGAACTTTTCTGTCATTATTTCTTCATAATTTTGCTCTTCTTCTGGTACCCCCATAATGTAAATGTTTGTATGCTTGAAGTTATCCCAGAGGCTCCTTACATTATCTTTATATTTTTGGATTCTTTTTTCTTTTTGCTCTTCTGGTTGGATGTTTTTGCTTCCCCGTATTTCAAATTGTTGATTTGCTTAGCAGAATCCTCTACTGTTGAATCCCTGTATATTATTCTTTATTTTAGTCAGTTTATGCTTAATTTCTGACTAGTCCTTTATTATTATTATTTTTTGGAGATTTATAGAAGATTCTTGAATAGCCTTATAATCATGGTTTTGAACTTTATATCCAGTAGTTTACTTTCTTTAATTTCTTTCATTTGTGACATGTTTCTTTTTCTCCACATTTTGGCTGCTTCCCTGTGTTTGTTTCTATTTATTGGGTAGACCTGCTATACCTCCTTGAGTTGGTAGAGTGGCCTTGTGTGGTAGGTGTTCAATAGGGCCCAGTGGCTCAACCTCCCTAGTCACTTGAGCTGGGAGCTCTTAATACACTGTTCGCACAGTCTTGTAGCTGAGACTTGACTGTTGTTGGTGCCACTGAGAAGAATTTACCTCCAGGCCAATTGGCTGTGAGAACCATCTGTGACTACAGTGGGAGAGCTGTGTGCAGGGGACAACCCTATGGAGCAGGACTTGTTTCAGTGGGGCTTTGGTGCTCACTGAGTCTGCCCCTTGAGTGTGTCACTTATGGATGTGTAGAGTTGTAATATGGTATGGTCTGACACTGACCACTGGGTTCACTGGCTCTTGGGTCTTCAGGGAGGTGCAAAGTCAGCCACTGCCTGGGGCCATCCAGAAGGAGCTATAGAAAGATATGCAGAATCCTTCTCTTTGTATCAGATTTGAAAGTGCCCAGATGAGTTAGCTACGAAGCAAGACAGGCTAGTACTAGTGTCAGATCTTGGGCTTTTTATTGATAGGTTTGGGGATCCCTTGTTTTAGAGATTTTAGCCTGAGCAAGAACTGGCCATTCATATGCAAAAGTTGCAGCACACAGCTTGGGTTGTAAATTGGATGAGATGGGGTCTTAGGGAATCTCCAGGACAGAACAAACAGAAATAGCTGCCAGTCAGTCCTGTGACCTGGGAGTTCCCAGCAGAAGAACAATGATCCCTGTGAGCACCTCTGTCTGGGACAAAGTTGCCCCCAAGTTCCTGCCCCAATTCCAGACAATCCAGTTCCTTCTCATATGTGTCTCTGTTCCTCATAACATTACCCTAGTGCTGGAGTTCAGAGGAAGCACGACCTCCTAAGTTCATTTTGTGGTTCCAGCTTTTTACGAGGAGCAGCTAGGTTTTTAGCAGCCTCTGTGTCACTGAGTCCTAATCTGCACCATTTTTTAGGGACTTCTTTTCCTGGTCTGGGGGTCTGGTGTGGGGCTGGGACTCCTTGGTCTGGGGGTCTGGTGTGGGGCTGTGACTCCTTGCTCCTCCAGGCAGCTTCTGCTGATATGATCTTCCTCCCAATTAAAAAAAAACTGGACCAGACCGATCTGCACTTCCACACCTCCTACCAGTCTCAGTGTGCTTTCTTCTTTACTTCTCTAGTTGTAGGACTTCCATTCAGCCAGCTTTTCAGTGGTTCTGGATGATGGTTGTTCTGTATTTTAATTTTAATTTTGACGTGGTTATGGGATGCACCTTGTGGTTCCCTGTCAAGCCCCACTGGGCAGGGGTTGCAATCTGAGATCCCCTGGCCTGTTGCCAGGGGGGGGGGGGGGCAGGGCCTGAAGCCCCCTGTCAAGCTCCACCTAGTGAGGTGTATGGCCTGAGGTACCCTGGCTTGGCACTGAGGCAGGGGGAGCAGCCTGAGGTCCCCTAGCCCAGAACCTTGAGGTTCCTCATCAAGTCCCGCTGGGTAGGAGGCACAGCCTGAGGTCCCCTGGCCTGGCACTGGGGTGGGGGGTGCAGCCTGAGGTCCCCCGGCCTGGTGCTGGGGCAGGGAGAGTAGCCTGAGGTCCCCCGGCCTGGTGCTGGGGCAGGGAGAGTAGCCTGAGGTCCCCTAGCCCAGCACCAGGATGGGAAGTGCACCTTGAGGCCCCCTGTCAAGCCCTGCTGGGTGGGGGGCTTGGCCTGATGTCCCCTATCAAGCTCCATGGGGGAAGGGGAGGGCATAGCCTCAGGTCCCTGCTGATTGCTGGTTAAGACTCCTTATGGGAACTTGGCCTCAGCTGTGGGTGCAGCCATCTTTGTGATGGAGTGATAGTTAATTAGCATATTCCCTCTGTATTTGATAGGATAATTGAAACTTTGTAGCCTTGAATGGAGGACTGGGCCAGCCAGGTTGTGCAGAAAGCTCGGCTTCCTCATTTCTAGGGAAATCCAAGCTTCCTTCTTGTTCCATTGCCACAGCCATCTTCGTTGATTAATCTGCATACTCGCTCCTGATTGGCTGATGGGTATGGCTTGTGTGTAGCAGAGTGATGATTAATTTGTACATTACTCTTTTATTAGATAGGATTATATTACTACGGCCTGGTGCATGAAATTCATGCACTAGGGGTGGGAGGTCCTTCAGCCCAACCTGCCCCCTCTCACATACTGGGACCCCTCAGGGGATGTCCTACTGATGGCTTAAGACACAGTCTGGCCTCCTCTTGTGGGAGGCAACCAGGCTGATCAGGGGAAAATACCAGCCCCATTACCCAACTGCTGCAGCCTCTGCCAGTCACCACAGCCACCAAGGTGTTTTCATCAACATGAACTGCAGTCCCTTCACCAAGAAAAAAATGACAACTTTCTTTGGGCCTTTTTAAGATGTGTCTTTCATAGGATATGCACTTCCTTCCTTCCTTCCTTCCTTCCTTCCTTCCTTCCTTCCTTCCTTCCTTCCTTCCTTCCTTTCCTCCCTTCCTTCCTTCCTTCCTTCCTTCCTTCCTTCCTTCCTTCCTTCCTTCCTTCCTTCCTTCCTTTCTTTCTTGTCTTTTTTTTATCCTCACCTGAGGATATTTTCCATTGACTTTTAGAGAATGTGGAAGAGAAAGGGAAAGACATAGAGAAACATCAAAGTGAAAGGAACACTTTGATTGGTTGCCTCCTGCATGAGCCCTGATCTGGGCCCCAGCCAGGGAGGAGCCTGCAACTTAGATACAGGCCCTTGATCAGAATCGCTGAGGTATTATCCACTGAGTCAAACAGGATATGACATTGTCAGCCCTCCAGCAGTGGACTTTCGTTTTTTTCTTCAGAAGTTTGGTGGAAAAACCCTAGATCACCTTTTTGGATTCTTATTACAAAGAATATTACCAGTGGCATACAGGAAGCTTAGCCAATGTGCAGTCAGAAAAGGTGTTTCCTCTATAGTTTATACCATTTGCGGGCTGGACCCTGCCCAAGCCTAAAGCCTCTGGCCAAAGCTTTAGGCCTGGGCAGGGGCCCTCCAGCTCCCTCTGATCACCGGCTCTGCCCTTGCCCAGGCCAGCCCTCTAGCAGAGGCTTTTGGCCTTGGGAGGGCAGGGGACCCCAGGCTCACTGTGATCACAGGTTCCACCCCTTGGGCAGGGCACCCCCAGCTCCCTGCAATCTAAGGCTCCGCTGCTGGTCAGGAGCAAACCCTCAGTTCCCTGCGATTGCAGGCTCCGCTCCTGCCCGCTCCTACTGATTGCAGTAATGATCCTGCCCAGGTTTTTGCTAGTCTATCTCCATTTATAATTAAAAAGAAACACTAAAATTTATTTTATCAATGGTTTCTGAGCCCAGTTAATAAAATATATTTAATCCTATCTAATAAAAGAGTAATATGCAAAGGCCCTTCTCAGGCTTCTCTGGACCCATGCGGCCTTATCTCACAGTGACCTGGGTGTGATGATGTTCCTGGGACACAGGTGCTGGGTGCCTATGTATGCAAATTAACCACCATCTTTTTTTGGGTTAATTTGCATACTCACTCTGATTGGCTATGAATGTAGTGAAGGTACAGTCAATTTACATGTTTGTCTATTATTAGATAAGATATTATTATATTATGTAATATATTATTTAAGCCACTGTATGTCACACGTGGACAAAAATATCCTAACTAATGCACCAGAATCCCTACTTTGGGGGATTTATCCTAAATCAGTAATTGAGGATATATGTAAAAATTTAGATAAAAATGAACATTACTTTTATGTGAAAGTTAAAAATTAGCTAATGGCTTAGTTAAAGACATTATAATTCATCTATACAATAAAATAGTATGAAGCCATTCAAAAATATATAAAAGAATTTATTTGTGTAGAAAAGCATTCATTAAAAAAAAAATGAACGTATAGGACAAGAAAATGGCCCCAGTGATTGAGCATCAACCTATGAACCAGGAGGTTATGGTTCAATTCTGAGTCAGG